CATTCCTGGCACATGAACAAACATGATTTAATTTTTTTATCAAACCAGCTTATAAGCTCTTAAAGTGTCTTCTGAAACACACTAGTCAATGAATTGTTGATTTTGCCTCCTGACTATTTTAGAATTCTTTTATAGATCATTGATCATGACTGGACATTCATAGTATTGCATTTTAATTTTTATTTCTTTGTCACAAATATATACGCAGTTAACAAACAATTAAATGATAAAGAGCGTGTGGCAGCTGCACTGGAAAACCCAAATCTTTTGGATATGGTTGATGAATGTCTTGCTCCATCTTATGATTGAAGGAGCTTTTCTCTCCTTCAAATGCGTTGGACTGGTGCTTTTGTGCCTGTCGTTGAAGTTGGTCAGCTTTGTTTGTGTATGATATTTTTGGTTGCTGGCGTATTGGCCATGCATTTTGTGTTTACCTCACACAGTTGTTGAATAGGAATGCGTAATTGACAGTGATAATTAAGTAAACTATTAAGGTTCTCTGATTATTAGCTCAAGAAAAGAAATAGAAAATTCTTTCCATGTTTTGAAGTTGTCAGCTCACGTTTCATACATTGAACTATTTTTATCATGCTTGATTGAACCTATCTTGAACTATTGAATCATAAAAGTTCATAAAAGTTAGATGAAGAGAAGTTGCCAAAAATGAACATCTCAGCCCTGCCATTAGCGATGTGTGATATGATCATAGAAAAATTTAATTTTTATCCCAAAAGAAAAATAAAGATTTATCCCACCTATTGTATATGTTAAAATAATAGTTACTAATAAACATCGATTATTATTAACACAAAATAAATTCATTAAAACTGAAATAAGTTTAAAAAGAAATGTATATTTAAACAAAAAAATTATTAACATAATAGTATTATGTATGAATACATTTATATTATAATATTAATATCTTAATTTTTTTAAAAAAAATAAACACATTTCATGTACCAAAAAAGAGTACAAACAAAAACCAAAAGTTAAGTTATATGCGTTGTTAGTATAAAACATTTTCATACGTATATTCAAATGAAATTTACCATATTGCAACCTCATTATTGAATAGAATATAATAAGGTAATGAAATTTTATTAAACGTCTATTTAGGGTTTTTTTTTTGCACTGACGTATATTAATTAAATTTTAAAAAATAATATATACTTCACTAAAAATAATAAATTATATAAAAAGATTGTAATATTTTTTTTAAGTACATGCATTGCTTGTAAAATATTATTGATATTATTTGTAATTCTTGTATTACTGAACATATATATATTTTTTTTATATCGTTGAACGTTGTATTTTTAAAATTAAAATTAATCAAATTATATTTAATATTCAAATTTCAAGTACAAGCAATTATCGGTAGGTTCTTGAGGATTTTGAGAATTTAATTTTGGTGTCTACATTAAAAAGAAAATATTTAAATATGTTTTAAGTTCTAGACATTGCTAAGTGCTCTTGCAAATATGGCTCAATTTTGTTTTAGTTCTTGTAACAAAAAAAAAATTTGTTATTTTTAGTCGACATTTTCTTCTTGCTCTAGACTTATGTTCATTTAGTACTAAAATGACATAAAATAAAGAATATTAATTAAAATAGTTAAGATAACATAATTTTTTATATTTAGATAATTAAAATTGTTCTTATATGGATAATTTAATCAAGTAATGTATTTATTTTTATATAAAACTAAATTATAATTTTAACTCTTTTATTTTTGTCAATCCACTAATTTTATTTTTTTTATTTTAAGATAAAAAAATTTAAGTCCTCTAATTTAAGCAATACATAAATTAAGATCTTTTGTCAAGTTGACATCAATTAATAGTTAAATTTTAAAATTTATTAAATTTAAGTAATATGATATTTAGTGACATGATATTTAAAGATAATTTTTTTTTAAAAATCATGTAAATAATATTTATTAAAAAAATATCAATTATTTGTTAAAATACTCTAAAAAAAATATTCGTTAAAATAAATACAAACAAAATATTTTATATGTTATTTTTTAATCATTATAAAAATCTTTTATATGCAAAATTTTGTACTTAAAAAAATATAGAACTAAATATCTCTATTTTAAAAATAAGAGAATAAAATTGTAAATTAATAAAAATAGGATAACTAAAAGTGCATTTAAATCTTTACATAAACAACATAATTACATATAATTTATTTAAATTTTTAATATGTTATGAAGAATATTATTTTTATTATTTTAAATATTGTTCATACTTTTCAATTTACAAATTTTCTTTTAAAATTGTATTTTTTCAGTTAAAAATATATAATTTATTTAAATGCTTATAATTTACTTCTTAAAATATATTCGGCGAAAAAAAATTACAATTAAGTTACTGATCTTATACAAAATACAATACCAATAATTCGATTTCTGAAATTAGTAAAATTACTACAAATTATTATTATTTTTATAGTGATTTCAAGTTACTATAGTTATAAATTAACTCAAAAGATTAAATTATAAAAGTTATAAAGAAAATCAACAACATAATTACAAATTATTCATATTTAAAGATCTAATTAAAATTTTATCGTAAAATAATATATTAAGCCTATTTGAAACCATATGATTATTTAAATTTATTTAATTTTAATTATCTTTTCATTTGATTAGAGGCTGTCCGCTGTCGTTTCGTTTCAACATGGAAAGAATGCTGTTTGCTGAATTATTAAAGTTGACGCAGACTTCAGATATTTTTTAAAGTTCATTTAACTTTTACTTATTGTCTGCTTAGAAACGTCATTTCAACTACAAAATTGAGTATTTACTTTAATAGTTTGATAATTTTTAATGCAAATTTTCATTGCACAAATTACTAAAATAAAATTTTAATTTTAATTCAAAATAAAATAAATAGCATTTATTAAAGTCATGCGTAATCTTGTAAAAAAAGAAATACAGATTCATTAAAGTAGACGTGTTTTTAACATTTTTTAGTTCTTAAAATTAAAAAAAAATTGTTAATTTGAGGGTTAAAAACTAATTTAATTTGATTAATTCAAAAAATAATTTATATATTTTAAATACTAAAAATTAAATTTTAAATTTCAGGTCTAAAAAAATATATACAAAAATTAAATTTCATTTTTAAAACTACATAAACTAAAAACATAAATTTTAGGCTTAAAAGATCAAAAAATAATTACTTCAAGATTTAAAGCTAAAAACATAATTAATCTAAATAAAACGTCACATAAATGACGCAGGAATACCAATTATTGAATTAAAGTTGACAATAGGTGTTTTATTGGATTATATATATATACATGATAGAGAAATAACGCCAACTATAAATAAATAATTACTCCCAATAAGTCTCATCCTTTTCCAACTTTTTTGTTTTCTGTGTCCGTGGAGTGTGACATGCACTAACTATTCTTCTCTTTTGACGTGATGCATAGTTATGGGGAAGAAAAAGAAAAATAAGTGAAAAATAAAATAGAAAAAAAAAATATAAACTACCATCATGAAATATTAATTTTGATTATTTTTAACAGTTACAAAAAATTGACTTGTTTAATTTTGTGGGAAAAAAAGTGTAATTCCACGCTTTTCTCCCACTCTTCTCTTGTTTTTACACAAGTAAACAATTCTATAATATCTTATTTGTGGTCACTAATGTATGGACATTTATCATTAGCTATATTGGTGAGGTTCATGTGGCTGATAAAGGTAATGGAGGTGAATGATTGTGGATTTTTTCACAAATAATGACACTGTAGGAATGGGCAACGAGCGGGTTTGGTCGGGTTCGGGTGAAAAATGTTTAACCCGTTGTAAACTAACTTTGAAAAAATGTGACCCATATTTGACCGACTGAGCTTTCGGTTTGAGGCAGTTCGGGTTGCAACGAATTCGGATTTGGGCGGGTGGGTACAATCAGGGTTGAGATTTTTTGTTGACCAAGTTATTTTAACGAAGGTGAAGCTTAAAACGGTCAAAATGTATTTTTAAAACAGTGTACAAAAATAGAATGAAGGTAACAATAGATGATGTAAGTAGATTCGTAAATGAAACATTTACAAACTAAAGAAGCAAAAACAAAAGATAACAAAATTCATAGTTGTTACATGCAAAAGAAATCTAAAGTTAGATTACAAAATCTATAAGAAACCACTGTTGCACAAGTTGTACTCAAAATGGAGATAGGAAGATGGAAAAAAAAGATAAAGAAAGAAATAAAAAGAAAAATCTAAAAATAGACTAGTGTGTTGAGAAATTGAATGAGGAAGGAGAAGACAAAAGAAATATATAGGTTATGAGAAAAAGAAAAAGTTATAAATTGATGGCTATATTATACTTGAAATAAAGATTTTGAATTTGGATCATTATTGTTTAGTTATACAAAAGTAATAAAAATATAAATTTATCTCATTTTCGGTTGGGTTCGGTTTTAGCAGGTTTAAAAATTTAAAATCAAACCCGCCCAATATAACCTGTATAAAATCAAAATTTTAACCCGAATTACCCGTAAAACCCGTCCGAACCCACCCAAAAGTAATATTTTTTATCGGGTTTTTCGAGTTCGGTTCAGGTCTCGGTTTTATGCTCACCCCTAAATGACAGACTGAGGCTTATCTCTCTCTCTCTCTCTCTCTCTCTCTCTATATATATATATA